TGATCCAAAGTGTTGTTCAAGCCCTAAACGGCCTCGGCCCAGTATACCTGAAGGAGCGTCTCCACCCCCATCATTCAGCCCAGACACTGAGGTCCAGCTCCGAGGGCCTTCTGGCAGTTCCCTCGCTACGAGAAGTGAGGTTTCAAGGAACCAGGCAGAGGGCCTTCTCGGCAGTGGCGCCCGCCCTGTGGAACGCCCCTCCCATCAGATGTCAAGTAAATAAGCAACTTCCTGACTTTTAGAAGACATCTGAAGGCAGCCCTGTTTATGGAAGTTTTTATCTCTGATGTTTTATAATTTTTTATGTGCTGTAGGCCGCCCAGAGTGACTGGGGAAAACCAGCCAGATGGGTGGGGTATAAATAATAAAAATTATTTTAAAAAATAATTGAGCCATTTTGTGGTGGTGCCCACAGGTCCAAAGGGGTTGGGGCTATTCTAGATCCACATTCAAGCCACTCAGGGCAATGGTCAGGCTCAATGGATTTGAGCTCCAACCCCCCACCTAACCCCCTGCATGAACCAAAGGTACCTCAGAGCCTGCCCCCGGGGTATTCCATGGCAGACCCGGGTTTTTCCCACAGCTTAGCGTGGACAAAGTTCCCAGAAGACAGAACATTTCAAAACACCTCAGCAGAAAACGGAAGAGACCACCCATACTTTTGAGGCAGAAGCAGGGCCAGTGAAATATACCTCATTTTTATTCCTCAGCGCTTCCTCCCACTCGCTCTTGGAAACGTTTGTCTTTGGCCTCAGCCAAAAGTCCAGGTTGCGAAGGTAGTTCATGATCGGCAGGCGTCCAGGAAAGTACTGGTGTAAAGAAAAATGCAGTCAGGAAACAGGAAGGATAAGTAACAGAAGCCAACTAATGTCTGCTTGTGGCAGGTGAAACGAAGGGAGTGGCCACAGACCATGGCGCTCCAGGGGCGAAAAGTGTATAATACCAATCATGTGGTAGTGCAGAATAAATAGTATGGGGGAGAGAAATCAATTCTTGTGACGTCTTCTTTTTCATGGGCATAAAAAATTGGATCAAACTTCCTCTGTCCGCAGGTACAGAATTATATGCACAGGTACAGAGAAGTAGTAGATTATTCATATACAGTGGTACCTCGGGTTAAATACTTAATTTGTTCCAGAGGTCCATTCTTAACCTGAAACTGTTCTTATCCTGAAGCACCACTTTAGCTAATGGGGCCTCCCACTGCTGCCGGAGCACGATTTCTGTTCTCATCCTGAAGCAAAGTTCTTAACCTGAAGCACTATTTCTGGGTTAGCAGAGTCTGTAACCTGAAGCGTCTGTAACCTGAAAGTGTATGTAACCCGAGGTACACTGTTTTTTTGTTTTGGTTAAATCACTTTGCAGGTTTTTAAAAAATAATTTTATTAAATAAATATACAATAAATATAAATAAATAACACAAGCCAAAACACAATCCATCCTGTAGATTTAAATATCTGTCCACTTGTTATCAGGGGCTCAGAATCCACATTCCTTTGTAAGAAAATAGGAAAATAACGTAAAACCATTTTTGCAGGCAATAATAATAATCAATGTTTGTGAGGGGGGGGGTGACAAGAAATGTCCCGCACCGGGTACCGCCTGACCTTCCTACGCCTCTGTCTCAAGGGAGACCCTTCCAATGGGAATGGTCCCAATATTTTGCTGCAACTTATTACCAGTGGCAAGGACGCGGGTGGCGCTGTGGGTTAAACCTAGGACTTGCTGATCAGAAGGTCAGCGGTTTGAATCCCCGTGACGGGGTGAGCTCCCGTTGCTCGGTCCCTGCTCCTGCCCACCTAGCAGTTTGAAAGTACGTCAAAGTGCAAGTAGATAAATAGGTACCGCTCCTGCAGAAAGGTAAACGGTGTTTCCGTGTGCTGCTCTGGTTCGCCAGAAGCGGCTTAGTCCTGCTGGCCACATGACCTGGAAGCTGTACGCCGGCTCCCTCGGCCAATAAAGCGAGATGAGCGCCACAACCCCAGAGTCGGCCACGACTGGACCTAATGGTCATGGGTCCCTTTACCTTTTACCAATGGAAGCCACAAACCTATCCTTGGGTTTTCCCTTCTACCTGCCTGCTGATCGCTCTGCTCCAAGTCCTTCCTCCCTGCCCAACTGTTGGAAGCTGGAATTCCTCTAATGTGGTGCGGCAGAAGGCATGGAGCTGCTCTCTGTTTGCATCCAGCTCTGCCTCTGCTTTCCTGTGGGTGATGTGGGAATTCCCTGTCCGAATTCATCTTAGCCACTGCTAATACCGGGAGATCCTTTTGTTCATTCTGTATCCTTAGATGCTGCAATAAGCAAACATGCCGGCCCCTGCGGGCCAACGGCCAAGATCCAAATCTTGGTCGTAACTCCAAAATAGTCTCCAAGGAACACGCAAAGCTACTTTGACAATAAGTCAACTCAAATCCGATTAGCATCAGCACTTTAAAACCACAAGCACTCCAGGGAGAGGGGGGCAAAGAGCTACATACGTTCAAAGAGGCGATGGAGGGGGGAGAGAGAGAGAGAGATTGGGGGGGGGATGTCACAGGAAGGCAGACAGACAAGTGGGAAATTGACAGGTTGAACAGGGGAGGAGAGGGGGGGAGGGAAGGAACCAGGAAAATTGATTGGGAGGATGAATAAAAGGATATTAAGAACCCTATGTTGCTATTCATGAAAGCTCTGCAGATATACCTGCTCTGCTACCCAATCATGGGGTGCAACTTGCTCTAAATGGGCATTAACTTCCAATACAATAGGTTTAGGGACGCGGGTGGTGCTGTGGGTTAAACCACAGAGCCTAGGGCTTGCCGATCAGAAGGTCGGCGGTTCGAATCCCCGCGACGGGGTGAGCTCCCGTTGCTCGTCCCTGCTCCTGCCAACCTAGCAGTTCGAAAGCACAAAGTGCAAGTAGATAAATAGGTACCGCTCTGGCAGGAAGATAAATGGTGTTTCCGTGCACTGCTCTGGTTGCTAGTCATGCTGGCCACATGACCCAGAAGCTGGACGCCAGCTCCCTTGGCCAGTAAAGCGAGATGAGCGCCACAACCCCAGAGTCGTCCGCGACTGGACCTAATGGTCAGGTCCCTTTACCTTTACCTTAGGTTGGATAATGAGAAGAGTCTGGCTTTCCCCAGGGGGGGATGCAGTTTTGCCAGTTCTGTCACTGAAAGGATGGAAATCCACGGTGGATGCCCCGGTTGAGATCTCTCCCCAAACAACTCACCAGTTGCCCAGAAGCAGCCTGCTCCTCCACCCGCCAATGCAACTTGGCAATAATAGTCCCTACCTTGCAGGGTTGTTGCATGGATAACTGGAAAAAAAAATACCGAGCAGAATATTCCTTGTTTTCAATATGAACCTGAAATATTGCCCTTTTGGACTTACTCAAACACAGGTCTACTACCCAGCCAACAGATCCAAAAGTATGCAAGACACGGATGTTTATAGTGGGCACTGTCTAGAGAACAATTCAAATTCTTCCTTAAGATAATTTAATTTGTTATATACTCCTTTTCATAGGGCACCCAGCCCTCTCAAGGCAGCTCACGCAACAAGGTAGATTAAAAGGGGAAACACACAACAACGACAACAGTTCAATTGAAAATCCAGCAGTAAAACAGAAAAAAAATAAGATAAAGGGGAAAATAGCAGGGGAAAAACCAGCACTGGTGCTTTATTTGCAACTAGAAACTCTGGACCAGCTTCAGATTAATCAGTTAAAAGTGGATAGAAACAAGAGGCAATTTGAAAGCAGTCAATAAGGCTGCCAAGAGAACTTCCCAAAGAAGGAAGCTCCATAATGATGGGTTCAAAACAGAGAAGTCCCTCTCTGCGGTACTTGCCAGCCTGACAGACTGTATTAGCAAGAAGAAAGTGCAGGGAGAGAGGTTTTTTCTCGTTAACACTAGAATTTGTGGACGTCCAGTTATGCCGAATGCTGGAATACTCATGACAGACAACAGACAGGAATTATTCGTGTAGAGCATAGTTACTGTATTTTTTTGCTCTTTAAGGTGCACCCTGACTATAAGACGCACCTCGTTTTTACAGAGAAAAGGGGGAAAGCCCCGTTTTTTGAGGATCAGCTCACAGTTGTGCAGGCTTCTTTTGCAAAGGGGAAAAGCCCCTTTGTGAGGATACAGCTCAAAGTTGTGGAGCTTACTTTGCAAAGGGAAAAAATCCTGTTTTTATGGGTTCAACTCACAGTTCCTGCAGATTCTTTAGGAAAGGAACGGGAGCCGTTTCTACAGATTCCAGACAGATAATCTAATTCAGCCAGTTCGCGTGCAGAACATTCAACAATGGAGGCCTGGGCTAGGGAGCCAGCGATCGACCACACATTCACTCCATAAGACGCACAGACATTCCCCCTGACTTTTAGGAGGAAAAAAGTGCGTCTTATGGAGCGAAAAATACGGTAAACTGGTGGAAACTCACTTCCCCAGGGAGGCAGTGGTGCCAGCACCAACCTGGAAGGCTTGAGAAAAGCATGAGACAAATCCATGGAGGAGGAAAAAACTTATCAGCCGCTATGAGCATAGCTGTCAACGTACAGGTTTGAAAATAAGGGACCAGAAGCTCGAAAATAAGGGATCAGCAGCCAAAAATAAGGGATTTTAGTCAACCAGCTGAAATACGAAGTTAAAAGGGACCAGATAATTTGGGGGAGCAGTGCCGGTTTTTAGCCCTTCGTTTCCAGAGGTTGCTGCTCAAGACACCAGCCGATGAAACACTGCAATTAAATAACTACAAGCAGGCAGCCACTTTTCACGCAAAACGAAGTCCAAGCTATGAAGATGCTGCTGCAGTTCTGTATCTTTTCTCTCGTGCTCCATCTGCAGCTCTCAGTTTCCATCAGGCGGGCGGGAGGAAGTGGGGGGGGGGGATAGCGCCCGAAGTAAACCCGCAGATCAGAACCATCTATGCTAGTCTACCACTACAAATCTATGGGAGAAGCGCTTGCGGTCCTTCCTCCGCTTTCCCCCTCTATGATTAGCCCTTGGAACACCTGCCTCCTCCTCCTCTCTCTGAACTGCTTTCTCTATGGTTGCCCTCGCTCTCCTCTCAAGGCTCCTAAGTCCCAGTGGGGAGGGGCTCCCAGGGGCCAAGGCTGGTGAGAGGAGGCCGAAGGGGGGCGGGGCGGGCAGCCAAGCAACACAGTTGGAGCCTCCCTCCTCCCTGGCTGGCCGGCAGGGAGGGAGGGAGAGGAGCTGCTTCCTTTGAAACCCGGGAAATTTAAGGGACATCATCAATAAGGGACAGCAGCGGGACATGGCGCTGGGATAAGGGACTTTCCCACCAAATAAGGGACGCTTGACAGCTATGGCTATGAGCCAGGATGCCTCTGCTCTGAATCCCAGTTGCTTCTGAAACCCAGTTGTTGGACACCACAGGAGGGGAGAATTGATTGTGTGTGTGAATGCTGCTTGGGGGTTTCCCAGTGTGGGGATCTGCATTGGCCCCTGTGAGAACAAGACCCAGCAGGCCTTTCTTATGTTACTACAATGTCAGGTGAAGTCTATGCTAGTCTCAGGCGCCAGGTAGCAGCTCGCTTGCAGGTTGCCGTGAAGCCTCAGGCAAGGTCTCACTCTGATGTTGCAAAGCATCGAAGCCACTAGGTCTTTTTCTGTGTTTGTTCTACTTTGTGTCCTACTTCCTCAAACAATGCGCAGGTTAGAATACAACCTAAAAACCAGACAAATTTACTTTGATGGTGACCAGACCAGCTTCTAGGCTCCCACCCTGAACATCGCAGTTTAGCAGAGGGAGAGGCATTGCCAGTGCTTTTTTTCTTAAAAAATGTTCAGGGGTACTCTCATTTTGAGGGACGCGGGTGGCGCTGTGGGTTAAACCACAGAGCCTAGGACTTGCCGATCAGAAGGTCGGCGGTTCGAATCCCCGCGACGGGGTGAGCTCCCGTTGCTCGGTCCCTGCTCCTGCCAACCTAGCAGTTCGAAAGCACGTCAAAGTGCAAGTAGATAAATAGGTACCGCTCCGGCGGGAAGGTAAACAGCGTTTCCTTGCGCTGCTCTGGTTCGCCAGAAGCGGCTTAGTCATGCTGGCCACATGACCCGGAAGCTGTATGCCAGCTCCCTCAGCCAATAAAGCGAGATGAGTGCCACAACCCCAGAGTCGGCCATGACTGGACCTAATGGTCAGGGGTCCCTTTACCTTACTCTCATTTTGACTCAAGAAAACCACCATTTTCTAGTTCAACTCGGGGATATAAATACAGTAAATGGACAAAGTACTGTACAAAGGTTCACAAAATGTTTAGGGGTATGCGTACCCCAGAAAAAAAAGCACTGGGCACCACCTTACTGCAAACCCAGCTTAGGCTGAAATTGATTCGCATGTGTGATTTAAAACAATATATATATTTCTCTATATATTAGGCTGTACGGAGGCACACATGCTCATGAATTTGCATGGGCATCAAAGCCAAGGTGCAAGCAGGAGCGTGGCAAGAGGCTCTCTTCTGCCTGACCTGCTTTTGAATAAACAATGTTATATTCCACAGTCAATTATCTCCAAAGTACAAAGTGTTCTGTTACCAAAAAAAGACCGTGAGCAGCGGCTGGTCTGAGAGGGCGCATCCGCGCACCGGAGCAAGCGCTTAATCTTTTGTGTTCCCGTATAATTTTATACAAATGGGGTCGGTTTGGAGGCCGCAGACAAGATCCTGCCATTCCCCTTTTAGCCCTATTATTCTGCAAAGCGTCTAATTGCAGGCTTCGGCGAGAGGTGCTGGCATTGCTAGGGAAATGAGAGGAGGTACGCTTTGCACAGCTCGGTAACAAGGCTTCCGAAAGGAAAGTGGAAAAACAAATCATGGCTTGTGCGCATCGAACGGAAGGGGCCTAATAAGGCCCACAGGACAAACACTCCCCGTTATTACGGCTTCGTTATGCAAGGAAATGCCTTCTGAAAATGTCTGGTTTTCGGTAACGCTGGCTCTAAAAAGCAATCAGAATCTGCAGGGCCAGATGCCCTCTTTCCTCTGCCCCTTTGCGGGCATCAGGAATGCAAGAGCACCTTGGCAGAATGCTGGCCAACAGGTTTGTCTGCTCACTTGCACAAGAGCCCTCCTGCCATTACCAGCAACTAGGACTCAGAAGCATTGCTTCCTCCAAATGTGGAGGCAGACCATAGCCATCGTGGCTACTAGCCACCAATGGCCCTCTCCTCTCTGAACCTGTCCAAGGCAAAGGAAGTTGGCAGCTGAACTGCTGAACAAAGACGATTTGGCGTGGAGGAAAGAGATTTATTAGAAATTTGCAGCAGAAACGGTTTTGACGCAGGCTATTGTCTGTCAGCATCTTAAAAAGCAGAGACAACATCTTGCCAACAAAGGTCCGTATAGTTTAAAGCTCTGGTCTTTCCAGTAGTGATGTATGGAAGTGAGAGCTGGACCGTAAAGAAGGCTGATCACCGAAGAATGGATGCTTTTGAATTCTGGTGCTGGAGGAGACTCTTGAGAGTCCCATGGACTGCAAGAAGATCAAACCTCTCCATTCTGAAGGAAATCAGCCCTGAGTGCTCACTGGAAGCACAGATCCTGAAGCTGAGGCTCCAAGACTTTGGCCACCTCATGAGAAGAGAAGAATCCCTGGAAAAGACCCTGATGTTGGGAAAGATGGAGGGCACAAGGAGAAGGGGATGACGGAGGATGAGATGGTTGGACAGTGTTCTCGAAGCTACCAGCATGAGTTTGACCAAACTGTGGGAGGCAGTGGAAGACAAGAGTGCCTGGTGTGCTCTGGTCCAGGGGGTTGCGAAGAGGTGGACATGACTAAACGGCTAAACAACAACAACAACATTGTCTCTCAGCTGCTTGGAGCCTCAAGAAGGAGGGCAGTAAATATTAGATTTTATATCTGCATCCATATGAAAAAATGTAAGAATCAAAGAAAACTAACAATGACTCTTCAGAGAGTTCTTCTAGGGCTTGTGGCTCCAACTGGACCACTCCTGATTCCTCAGCTAACTGGAAAGATGAATCCAAAGAAGAATTGTCCCAAAGTTAAGAGGAATAAAAAAGGAGCATCCAGGTACTGGGACTCTTGCACATTCATGTCCAGCACATTGCTAGCCCACAAACAACCCACAAAAAAAGCTAATGCTATTCTAGGCTGCATCCGCAGAAGTCTAGTGTCCAGATCAAGGAAAATAATTGTCCCACTCTATTCTGCCTTGGTCAGACCACGTCTGGAATACTGTGTCCAATTCTGGGCACCAATTCTGGGCACAGTTTAAGAAGGATGTTGACAAGCTGGAAGGTGGGCAGAGGAGGGTGACCAAGATGATCAAGAGTCTGGAAGGCTAAACTTCAAAGCTGCGGGTTTCAGTTGCTGTCTTGTTCTCGAAGAGGTTCTGCCCTCGCCTGCTCCAGGAACACACTGGGTTAATTAGCTGAATTATGTGCTTGAAGCGCAGGCAACCCCGTGTTAAGCATCATCAGAGCTGCTTAAGCGCTCCTCAAGAGGAGGAGAAATCCAAAATCAACTCTGAGGGGGTGCTGTCCCATTGGGAAAGCCACAGTCAAAACTTTAGATGCAACCCTTTGACCTGGAACCAGAAGTTTGCTTAGCACCTCCCATGGAGCGACTCAGGCCTTTCGTTCATGCAGGCTGGATTGTTTGCGGAGCTCCAGCAACCCTGTGCACAGAGTCATGGGATTGTAGAGTTGGAAGGGGCTCCCAAGGGCCATCTAGTCCAACCCCCACAATGCAGGAATTGCCACTAAAGAATTCCTAATGGGGTCATCTAACCTCTGCTTAAAGATAAAGGTAAAGGGACCCCTGACCATTAGGTCCAGTCGTGGCCGACTCTGGGGTTGCGGCGCTCATCTCGCTTTATTGGCCGAGGGAGCCGGCATACAGCTTCCAGGTCATGTGGCCAGCATGACTAAGCAGCTTCTGGCAAACCAGAGCAGTGCACGGAAACACCGTTCACCTTCCCGCTGGAGTGGTACCTATTTATCTGCTTGCACTTTGACGTGCTTTCAAACTGCTAGGTTGGCAGGAGCAGGGACCGAGCAGTGCCACCCAACCTCTGCTTAAAAACCTCCAATGAAGGACAGCAAGCACAGCAGAGGCACAGGGGAACACTCCGGGACACATGGCAAGGTGATGATTCGGCGCATGCAAGGTGTGTGTGCACCTGGTCTGCAAAAAAAACCCTTCCCCTCCCAATGTTGATGTTATTCATATCACCCGCACATACAAAACACATTTTCACGGTGGCATCAAAGGAGCAACATGTTTTCAGCCTGCGAAGGAGGAAATGGAAATTCCAATTTGCACACCGAAATGCTGCTGGTTAGATGGGGGTGGCTGCAAGTGCTTAAGACGGACATGGAAATCCCTGATTTGCCAAAGGGCAGGCAAAGCGCGTCTTCCAAAAACAATGTTTGCAAGGGTAAAAGCAACACACAGCCACACCTGGTCCTAAATCATATAGCAAGACTTGCTGGCGGCTTTGTTTGCGCAGAAGAGGATGGGCTCTCCAAAGTTTATCCCACTTGAAAATCTTCTAGAATCATAGAATTGTAGGGTTGGAAGGGGTTTGCTTTTTATATGGACCACGGGTTAGGAACATAAGAAGAGCAGCTGCTGGATCAGGCCAGAGGTCCATCTAGTCCAGCATCCTGCTCTCAAAAAGGCCAAAAAATTGACTGCGGAAAATCCACAAGCAGGGTTCACACACAAGAGCAGACTCCTGCCCTGTGCGTTCCTGGTCCTGCTGCCTCCAGCTGTGGATATTTGGAGCGCTTTCAGATTACTTTTCTTTGGATGAACACTTTTAATATTTTGTATATGCATGTTTGGATTTGTACGTGGGGCTTCCTTCATGCTTGAACAAGAAGCTGCAGTTCGGGCAGGATGCTGCAGCACATTTGCTGAGAGGAGGGAGGGCTGACAGGCATATAACGCTCCCGCTCAGAGATCTGCATGGCTTGGTGATTTGCTACCAGATCAAGATCAAGATGCTGTTATTAGTATATGAAGCCCTTAACAACTCAGGACCAGTTTGCCTACGATATCATCTCCCCCAACATTTCCCCCCTTGACCGCTTCAGTTGGTGGAATTTGTACCTCTACAGGGGCCGCATAAGACCTGTTCCACATTTGTAAGAACTTAGCCATTTTGTGTGGCAGCTCCTAGACTTTGGAACTCCCTGCCTATTGACATCAGGGAAGTGCCTTCACTGCACTCTTTTCAGAAACCTGCTGAAACCATTCCTGTTTAGACAAGCCTACCTAGATGCTTAGACAGTTGATGCAAGTCCTAAATCTGTTTTTGTCTATTGCTATCTTAACTTTTTGCATTGTTGTTGCTAATTCTCCCTGTTGATTATTGGATTGTGTTGTCTTTTCTTGTGAACCGCTTCAAGGGTTCTGAGATCAAGCGGCCTATAAATTTCACGAAATAAGTCAACAAATAAATAAATAACTGCTGTATTACTAATTATCCGAATGTGTTTCACACGTCACGCTGTCTTCTTGCGAATCGCTTTGGGGCGCCTCTGAATGCGTGAAGCGAAATACAGTGGTACCTCTGGTTGCGAACGGGATCCGTTCCGGAGGCCCGTTCATGACATGAAAAGAGCGCAACCCGCACCGGCACGTTTGTGCATGCGCAGGTTGCAATTCGCTGCTTCTGCGCATGCGCGTGGCGTCATTTTGCGCGTCTGCACATGCGCTAGTGGCAAAACCCGGAAGTAACACTTTCTGGTACTTCCGGGTCGCCGCGGGACATAACCTGAAAGAACGTAACATGAAGCGGACGTAACATGAGATATGACTGTACAGAAATGCAATAACCAGCTCCACCTGCCTATGGGAATCAAGACCCATGCCCTTCCCTGTTTCCCACACCCATCTCCAGGGTCGGACACTGCCTCTTACCTTTGGCTGCAGCAGAGGAGGCTGAGGCCCGGTGGCCGGTTCCGTGATGTAGGTTTTCTTGGCTCCGGACGACGGGTACTGCCCTGTGGGATTCAGGGCCACAGACCCGGGAGAAGGGTATGTCGCCTCCTGCTTCCAGGCATTTTGCGGCACGTAGGATGGATCCGAGCCAGTCCTCCCTCCGTAGCCTCCGGGGTAGGCCGGCTCTTGGTAGCGGCCCTGGGGCCCCCCGTACCCATAGCTTGGCTCTGGGTGAGGGGCGGTTTGGGGCACGTAGCCATAATCCGCGGCCCGGGGCTGAGACGGCACGTAAGGCGCTGGACCCAGAGAAGACGCAGGTTGAGCCGCTTGGTTGGGGGCCAGACTGCTATACTGGGGGGCTGGTGGCTGGAAGTGGGGGGCCGGCTGGGCCGACTTCACTTGCACGTTGAAGGTCGGGCGGTTCGGGGTGGAAGCCGTGCTGTAAGACGCCGGAACCGGCTGAGGTTTCAAGGTGCCGACTGGGGTCACCGGGATGGGCTGAGAGCCAGGCTTGGATGCCGATTTCTTGGTGGCCGTCAGGGGAGGCTGGTTTGGGATGACCATGCGCTTGTGGCCAGTGACTGGGGTGGCCATCGGAGGCGTAGCGATGGGAGATCCGCCCGGAATCCCAGAGCCCTGCATGTGGGAATAGAGACAATAGCAACAGACCATTAATTCGGGTCAGGAATAACATGCGCCTGAAGATTTGCCCCATTACGTACTGGTTTGTCCAAGCTAGGGACGCGGGTGGCGCTGTGGGTCAAACCAAAGAGCCTAGGGTTTGCCAATCAGAAGGTCGGCGGTTCGAATCCCTGCAACGGGGTGAGCTCCCGTTGCTCGGTCCCTGCTCCTGCCAACCTAGCAGTTCGAAAGCACATCAAAGTGCAAGTAGATAAATAGGTACCGCTGCAGCGGAAAGGTAAAGGGCGTTTCCGTGCGCTGCTTGCTCTGGTTCGCCAGAAGCGGCTTAGTCATGCTGGCCATATGACCCGGAAGCTGTACGCTGGCTCCCTCGGCCAGTAAAGCGAGATGAGCACCGCAACCCCAGAGTCGGCCACGACTGGACCTAATGGTCAGGGGTCCCTTTACCTTCACCTTTTGTCCAAGCTAAGAGGGCTTAAGAGCAGCCTTGTTCATGAGGTCCCAACCAAAATCTTATCCTGGGGCAATCAGAATAAGATCCACTCTTTGACTGCTGATTCAGGACCCTAAAATGTGTTTTATATCACTGACTTTTTATTTTGTTCTGTGTACATTGCAGTGTTCTTTTGCTGCTATGGCCGACGGCTGACGCAAAAAAAAGATCAGTGACCTGTCCAAAAGTAGGATTGGGTCCTATTTTATACATTTTTCCTGGGTAGCAGAACCAGTTAACAAAGGGAAGAAAAATAATATATATATATGAGAGAATATATATATATATATATATATATATATGCAGGTTTTGGTGTCCTCGGGTGTCTTCCCGTGTAAAAGTTGGGGTGTCTAGGCGACGTTTCGAGCTCTGTTCCAGTAACAAGAAGCCGAAAGCACCAGCCTGAAGATGACGAGTGAGACCTCGTCGAAACGTCGCCTAGACACCCCAACTTTTACACGGGAAGACACCCGAGGACACCAAAACCTGCATTCCTGTACCCGTGAAAATCTACGAAAGCATATATATATATATATATATATACACACACACACACACACACAGTCGTACCTTGGCTCCTGAACGCCTTGGGAGTCGAACGTTCCGACTCCCGAACAATCAAAAACCGGAAGTGAGTTTTCAAACTATTTTTGGAAGCTGAACGTCCAATGGGGCTTCCAAGGCTTCCGATTGGCTGCAGGAACTTCCTGCAGCCAATCAGAAGCTGCACTTTGGTTTCCGAACATTTCAGAAGTTGAACTGGACTTCCGGAATGGATTCCATTCGACATCCAAGGTACGACGGTATAATTAGTTGTAAGTGGGGGAAAGTGGACATTTCCTCCCATCTAGAGTCACCACTCACCCCAGACATTAAAACCCCAGGATTAAATTATATTTGAGATGCTTCTTGCACTGCAAGGGGTTGGGATAGATGACTCACAGGGTCCCATCCAACTCTAAAATTCTAAGATTCTGTGATTCCCTGAAACACCATTCTTTTTTTAAAATTTTATTGGAAATTTTACAACATAACATAAACCCCCCACAAGCCCAATACAGAAATCCACCCTCACTAAACGTGAACATAACATACAATAAGCATAACATACAACAATAAAAACAACCAAATAAAAGACTTCCTTTATCCTGGATCTGGCCTCCTTATTTACTTCTTATAAGCTGTTTCCTTTATCAATAATTATTAAGATTTTTCTAATTATAACTTAAATATCCACAAAGTCTCCTGCAGACATTAATCGAAACAAGTCCAGCTATGTATTTTAGGGCACTGTTTTGTGAAGTATTCTCTGAATTTCCCCCATGCTTTTCGAAACTCTTGTCTAGTGTGATCTCTAATTGCCTCTGTTAATCTAGCCAGTTCAATATACTCTAACAGTTTGTCTTGCCATTCCTTTTTTGTTGGCACAATTTCTTTTTTCCAATTTTTAGCAATTTCTATTGCTAAAAATTCCTGAAACACCATTCAGCGCTGATGTCTTCATTTTGGATCTCTTGGGAGAAAGGTAAAAAAAATAAAAATAAAATCCAGGTTAAGCCAGGTTAATTTCCCTCCCTGCTTTCATTTACAAGTTGCATCTGCAAAAAAGAAAAAGTGATTTGGCAGGAAGGAGAGATCAAGCTACAGAGAGATCAAGCTCTGCCTCCGCTGCCTGGGAGCAGTTTTCGGAGCGGGGGTGTAGGAAAGGGGTGTTAGATGCAGGGGAAAGTTTGGCTCACCTTTGCTTTAAACCCGGCGATAAAGCCACATTAAAGAAAAACGAAGGTCTTTTTGTATGTGTTTTTTAAGAGCTAAAAGGCATTGCCGGCTACTGATGTTTAAAAAGAAAAAAATCGATATCTCACTAAGGCAGAACAAAGCAGCCTCTGTCAAAGAGCCAAACTTGAAGGCAGAGGGATTTGGGATGGGGGGGGGGGCTCAGAAAACGGAAAGGGATTAATGGGAGGAGGAGGAGGAGGCATCTCAAGAAAGGTGCGGTTGGAGGAAGCAACAAGGAAATAACAGGCACAGGTTTGCACCCTGAAAGATGCCTCACATCCTTTTATTTGTTCTCACAGCTGTGTGTGTTTGCGTGTCAGCCTGTGCCGAACAGCTCGTGCAAACACATTCCCTCCTTGCAGAAAACCAGAATCTAGGAAGAGGGGTTGTGAGCTGCCCTTCTCCTTGACATGATGGCTTTCTAGGTGCAAGGAGATATTTGCGAGGAGGAGAATTCAGGCCTGTGCGCATCACCGCCCCAGTCCTCCTGGCATCAGCCTGCACTCTGAAATAGCATAGAGGCAAATTGGGTCCGTTCCTTTGAGTTTTGTATTGGTGCCTTGTATTCTTTCAATCAGGACACGGGTGGCGCTGTGGGTTAAACCACAGACCCTAGGACTTGCCGATCAGAAGGTCGGTGGTTCGAATCCCCACGACGGGGTGAGCTCCCGTTGTTTGGTCCCAGCTCCTGCCAACCTAGCAGTTCGAAAACACGTCAAAGTGCAAGTATATAAATAGGTACCGCTCCGGCGGGAAGGTAAACGGCGTTTCCGTGCGCTGCTCTGGTTCACCAGAAGCGGCTTAGTCATGCTGGCCACATGACCCGGAAGCTGTACGCCAGCTCCCTTGGCCAATAAAGTGAGATGAGTGCCGCAACCCCAGAGTCAGCCATGACTGGACCTAATGGTCAGGGGCCCCTTTACCTTTTTTTTCTTCCAATCAGTTGACTACATTTCCATATTTTTCAAAATAAAGAAGTCCTCATGGAAATGTTAGCATTTTAAAGCGTCCTAGTCCTAATCAGCAGGTTTCTGTATGCTGTTTTGCCCGTTCTAATGCATTTTTGTACCTTATCTTGACATATATTTTTAAGGCACACTTTCCTGGAAACATAAATTACACAGGTTTTTTTGGCAACAGGAATGAGGCAAACATTGCGAGATAGCTGCGTCCCTATGTGGACAGTGGCCAACACACTGAATCCCAGGACACAGGAACATAAAAAACCCCACAGCCTGCTGGGTGAAGCTAGTGGCCCATCTAGTCACGCATCCTGTTCTCACAGTGACTGAACAGCTGCCCCAATGAGAAAGCCACAAGCAGGATTCGAACACAAGACCAGCAACTCCCCTCCTGGGGTTTCCAGCAACTGGCATTCAGGAACAATGTTGTCTCTGGCTAGGAGCCATCCATAGCCCTCTCCTCTTCCATGAATTTGTCTCATCCTCTTTTAAATCCATCCAAATTGGTGTCCATCCCTTCCTCCTGTGGCGGGGAGTTCCGTAATTTAATTCGTACTGTGTGAAGGAGTCCTTTCTTTCATCTCTCCTGAATCTCCCAGCATTCAGATTCATTAGGGTTGCCATATTTCAAAAAAGTGAAAATCCGGACACAAAAGTTGTTGAACTTTTTTTGGCAAAATTATTGAGCTCCCTCCCCCTCCTTTTTGGGCTAAAAATATGAAGTTTTTGGGCTTTTAAAAAAGGGAAATCGCCAAAAACGACAGTGCCGACATGGGTTGCCATACGTCCGGATTTTCCCAGACGTTTTTGCTGATTTCCACCCAGACGCTGCTTCCGACTGCAGTATTCCAGATATGTCTGATAAATCCCAGGTCCATGGCAACCCTAGTGCCATTGGGTGTCCACAAATCCTAATATAAGTGTCAGAGCTGCCCTAGGTCCCAGCTCACAAAGGACCAACGCCAGTTAGTTGTTATATAGAACAGTCTTTATTGAAGCTCAGTTTCGCTTTCACAGCCGTGGCGCGCAGCTCTACGTCTCAAACTCTAGACCGCCGAAGCTCCGTCTGAGTCTCCTCCCCCCAGACACCAGTTTAAGACTCTAGCCTTGCTCCACCTCTTCCTCTGCTCTCTTCTCCTCTGGGCCCGCCTGTCCGCTGGGGTCTCGCCTCTCCTGGACTCTTCTGACGCAGAGTCTCCTGAGTCCTCCCCTCCCTCCGGCGGGCTTTAGGACCTGGTTCCCCATCCGGGTTTCCTACTGTGCCGCGCGCCTGCACATTCGAACTTGGCGCGCGCGCCCAGCCTGCCACCTTCCTCCTGACCGTTACACTGCTCCTGTCACTGCTTCCCCCTTCAGGGAGGCTAGCTGCACCTGACTCCCCCTCCGTTCCCTCACTCTGCAATGGAGGCGTGGTCAACCCTGACTCATCTTCTCTCCCTGCTGGAGGAGAAGCTGGCCCTGATACATGTGACTGTTCCCCCTCACTACACTCTGGTGGAGGGGCTGGTCCTGATCTCCCGCTGCTGCTTTGGGAGTCCCCGCTGGCCCCTTGCTTCTGGTGTGTCCCCCCTGGGACCCCCCTTGCCCTGGCCATCGGCACCCCCCTCTGGGAATCTTCTGATTCGCTGGAGAGACTCATGGAATCTCTCGGGCCGCTTTCATACTCCCCTCCGCTGCCCTCAGATTCTTCCCCTTCGCTCTCCATCCCCTCTCTCCCCTGTGTCTCTGCTCCTGAGCCCCTGACAATAAGCTTCCTCCTT